ACCATATAATTCCAGTGATGTAGCACTGCCTCAGAATGAGTATCATGATCAAGAGAATCTTGATCAGCACACTTTAGATGTCAGTCAAGGAGAAGTTGAAACTCATTATGATCACAGTGTTGAGAATCAGAATACAACAAGGGTTGATGGCCATCATATGATCACTAGAAGTAAGGCAGGAATCTTTAAACCTAAGGTTTATGTCAGTCAAACACAAGATGATTCTGAACCACTAACGGCTGCAGAAGCTTTGCAAAATGATAAATGGAGGAGAGCAATGGAGGACGAATACAATGCCCTAATGAAGAATCAAACATGGAAACTTGTGCCTCATGAATCTGGGATGAAAGTCATTGGAAACAAGTGGGTGTTCAGGCTTAAGCATGACTCTGAAGGAAGAATCCAAAGACACAAGGCAAGATTAGTAGCTAAAGGGTTTCTCCAAACACCAGGAGTTGATTACGGTGAGACCTTCAGTCTTGTCATCAAAGCATCGACTCTGAAAATTATCCTAACTCTCGCTGTCTCAAAAGATTGGCACATCAGGCAAGTAGATGTAAATAATGCATTCTTAAATGGAGGACTAAATGAAACAGTTCACATGGATCAGCCACATGGTTTTGTTGACAGGAAAAATCCTGACTTTGTATGTAAATTGGAGAAGGCACTGTATGGCCTAAAACAAGCCCCAAGGGCATGGCATGAGAAGCTGAAAAGTACCCTGCTGAAGTGGAACTTTAAACAATCTGTAGCTGACAACTCTTTATTCTTTCTCGCTGATGATGGAGTCATGCTCTTCATTCTCATCTACGTAGATGATATAATTGTTACAGGAAGCAGCTATGAGAAATTGCAAGAAATTATCGACAATCTAAATGCCTGCTTCGCACTTAAGGACATGGGAAATCTCAATCAATTTCTGGGAATGGAAGTTCACAGAGACACTACAGGATTATACTTAACTCAAACAAGATATGCCATGAGTTTGCTGAAGAAATTCGGTTATGAAAGCATCAAACCAAGTGTAACTCCAATGGCAGCAGGGAAATTAATCTCCAAGACTGATGGTCAGGCAATGAAGGAACCACTGCTGTACAGGAGTGCTATTGGTGGCCTCCAATACTTGACACACACAAGGCCTGATATTGCTTTCTCAGTGAATCGACTGAGTCAATTCCTTCAAACCCCAACTGATGCTCACTGGAAAGCCCTAAAAAGGGTCTTTAGATATCTGAAAGGAACATTGAATCATGGTCTAGCAATCTGCAAAAATGATAATCTCAACATCACCTCCTTTGCAGATTCAGACTGGGCATCATGCCCAGATGATAGACGGTCAACAGCAGGTTATTGTGTGTATCTTGGCGACAACTTAGTCTCCTGGTGCTCTAAGAAACAACAAGTGGTTGCAAGGTCTAGCACTGAAGCAGAGTATCGTGCACTAGTCCACAGTGCGTCTGAGATTACATGGATCCAATCCCTGTTAAATGAACTGCATTTACCACAGGTGACAACTCCCAAAATTTGGTGCGATAACTTAAGTGCAAGTGCACTAGCCTCAAATCCAGTATACCACGCTCGAACAAAGCACATAGAGCTTGACGTTCATTTTGTAAGAGATAAAGTGTTGAAAGGTGAATTGGAAATCAGCTATGTACCATCCTCTGATCAGACAGCTGATTTATTAACCAAACCTCTTGCTCACTCCAGGTTCATGTTTCTAAGAGACAAGCTTGGAGTGTTAGAGATACACTCCACCTTGAGAGGGGGTGTTAAAGTTTGCACTACTAACAGGCCAGCAATATAACTAATTCTCAGTGGAGTGCACAGCATGATTCTTGGCTATCCACACGGCTGATTGTCCTTGATGGAATATATTAGTTAAGCTAGCTGGCTATAGGTTGTTATGGTAGAATATTCTGTTGCTCATTGTGTATATAAGGAAATCATTGTTTGTAATCTATNTTGTGTATATAAGAAAATCATTGTTTGTAATCTATAGTGAATCAATTCTTTCAATTAAATCCAGCAGTAAAAAACTCTGGTTTCTTTCCTCTTTACGCAGGACTGGGGATCTGTAATATTTGCGCCTGGTTTTGGACATGGATTCAGGTTTAAAATCTGATTTTGAGCTGAAAATTGATACAGTGGAACCGCATTAACACTTGGAATCAGATTGGTTCAAGGGGTGGGACTCGCAGTTGAAGATGGACATTGATGCGTTGGAGTTTAGGTAGAAGATGACGCTTGAAATGATAGCAGTGAATTAATGAAAGGGGAAATTTTGGACAATGCGTTGAATAAGATTTTAGTTTCTCTTTTCTTCATTAATATTGTCAACTAATGTAGATCCACTGTACCAAACACAACTAAACATATTTTCTTTTTGTGAATAAGTGGGAACTAAAAGAAAAAATGTGACATAAACTACAACAGGAAAATAGAAAGGAAGCTGGAAACAACTCGAGTTGCTGATGGCGCTATATTTGTTGATTGGAGACTCTGGAACCTTGCTTTCGAGACTAATCCTATCGAACCCTTGGAACATGGAGTATAAGTATTAGGCCTTGAAAGTTCACTTGAGTATGGAGCCTACAACGGGAACAAGGTGACGATCAGAAATGAAAAAAACACGAAAGCATGAGTCTGAAGTAATTAATACATCAATCAAATAGGGATCCAGGTTTTACCCGATCCCTGAAACTTGGAGCTGGACAGGGCGCCAAGCATAAAGTATAATAGAGAAAATAATGACTTCATTTTGCAATTAAATTGATCAGTAATGCATCTAAGCACACGAGCTTTCCTCCAGGGTCGAGTGAGAAAAAATGTATATTTACTTATTTGGCGTGTCAAAACTGGACTTCTAAATCAAGCGAAACTCTATGTCAAACAGATTTTTGCTGATCAATTAAGAATCAAGTGTGTTGGAATGACATGCAAGAGCAAAAAATCCATCATAAGATATTATGATACAGTAAATTTTACGTCGCGAACTAAACAAGTACAAGAAAATAACGGAAATCATACACCCCAAAGGCAGTATGCTTGTGAAATGCTATTTATATTGTCTGTTGGGGCAAACAAGTCCCACGTCGGTTGAGGGAAGAAAATAAATCCACCATATAACCCAAGTGGGCTACTCCACCCATTACCAATTGGTTTTGGGATGGAACCTCACTTGGGCCTGGTGGTGTGGGATTGGGCCTTGGGTAATTGCTCTCAATAATTTCCTAACATTGTCACTGGCGAATAAATACGCTCTTCACAACCTTGGACCATCTTAATCCTAGAATTTCCATGAGTCGTAAGCCTTAATGAATGTTCGACAAATTAATAATTAAGAGTAGAGTAGACTATACAAGGCGCCATAATAAAACACACTAATTATATAGATCAAGATATAATAGATGCTACTCTTTCTTGCCTCGAGAACCAAATATGAATCTAATACCAATAACGCACAAAAACTAGGGAAATTAATTATATATGTTCCTTGATGTTCATATCTTCCTTAACCTTCTTCTAATATGCTAGTTCTCTTTGAATGGCTTGCTCCACCAATGCATCTATGTTTTCCTCTTCATCCATATCTATTTCACTCAAATCCCTTTAAAAAATATTTAGTTTGAGACTATTATAATTTGAAAAAAGAAATACATATTGTTGTTGTCAAATAACTGCCATTAAGCATTTAAACTCAACAAAATGATCATCCTTTAAGGATCGAAAAAATTCAAATAGTGTTTTATTTTGAAAATCTATGCAGTTGGGAAAATATACACAATGAATCGCAATTTCAGAGAGAAAAACACAAGAAAAATTTGGAAAGTACATTATAATAATTTAGTCTGGCCCAAGATCAATATGAAGAAAATTAAGCCCATGTTTGATCACCATTATTTCAACTATTTTTTTTCTACGTACTCATTTTCGATCACACAATAAAAAATTCTGAATGTAAACTCAAAATTTTTCCTTATTTTTTAACAAAACATTATCCAAAAAATCACTGTTCAAAACTCCATTTTACCCAAATAATAGTTTTCAAACAGGGGCTAAGTTAAACAACTGATTGTATTTGATAGAAAAACCAGCATAATTACAAAGAAGTATATTTGATGCAATTAAGGTTTATGGAGAATCAAAGAACACATTAAGTACTTGGAAATGAAAATACACAAGGTTGTTGTGAGGATAGAGAAGGACAAAAAGTAACAAAAATCAACTTTACTGATTTGTATATGCCTGACTCTTCTCCAAAGAATGTATAATAAACAAGACTTTTACCTGTTTTTCCCTTCATAGTATTGTCTCGTACTATTCAATGTTCTCCATTAAACATTACATAGAAGTGTTAAAAAGCTCAGAGTTGGGATGGCTGTGATGTCGAAAGGCATGTCTAAGAGGCGGGTTGTGCCGAGCTTGACCTTTCAAGCCAAAAACCTTTGTAGATTTTTTCTCTTTATTGAAAAAGACAAGAATTAGAACAGTTGTACACCCCAGTACATTCTATGCCCACTGGTTGTACCCGGTCTCGCATTTTTCTAGTCTGTCCTACCAACTGGCCAAAAGATAAGTTCTTCTGATCATCTACGATGATGCCCGTCTTGATGGACATCTTCTCGAAACCAAAATTAATTTGTTTAAATAAATTAGAGTAATGGTTAATTATATATAGAACTTGTAAGACTCCACAAAATATCAACCTTAAAATCAATTTACAATGAGCTGCTTTTTTACAAGAGTTAACTTAAAAGGCACAAGTTGCCGGACATAGAAAACAACAATAATGTTAGTTGAATTAGACGTCATCGAATAAGACTACTCAACAAATTTTATGTGACTCTCTGATACTGAAACAATTTACAAACTCAACATTGCATTCAAGTACTTCTTCAAGTACAAGAGTTACCATTTTTGAGACTAGAATGAAAATGGGATTTGTTGTACCATAGTTTCTTGACATGCTTTATGAGTCTCTTCGTCTTTAGCTCTTCCTAATTTTCAATTTTCATTTTCGTATTGACATTGTAAACATGAGCTATGTGTTTTTTCCCCTTGAGGTGCGACTTAAAACAATCTTCGTTCATGCAAGGAACATGACACAACTCACACCACAGCATCTTCGTTCCATTCTCTCCACCATTTTTCTGGCGAAGTTCCAATTCATGCAGTTTGGCCTTGTGTTTTTTCCCTGTCAAGTGCAGGTACAGAGCAGTTTTGTCCGTGCAGAAAATTTTGCAGACATCGCATCTTGGTTGACCGTGTTGACTCTGTTCTTTGCCATTCCTGTTTAATTGCATCCATTTCAACTTCGCCTGGTGAGTACGACCTTTTACGTGCTGCTGAAGAGTTAATGCACTTGAGCAGCTAACTTGACAGAGATCACAAGATAAATTCCTCACTGAATTGTTGGTTATGTTAACATCACAATCTGCTGCTTTCCTCTTTAAGCTGGAGTGTGTTTGTGTAACATTTACGCTTGATCTCGGGCATGGATTCTGGTTGGGAACCTGATTTTTCACTGAAAGTTGATATGGTGTAATCGTATTAGCACTTGAAATCAGATTGGGTCTTGGGCCACGACTCAAAGTTGAAGATGGATTATGATGCATTGGGATTTCAGTTGAAGGTAAAACCTAAAATCAGGAATAAGTTAGTTAAAAGGCGTGAAAAAAATAGACTAATGGGTAAATTTTGACTGACATAAGAAACTGTAAAAACAGAGGAGGATGATAACAACTTGAGTCGAAGATGGCAGTTTTGAGACTGAACCAAATCCTATCCAACCCTTGGAACATGGAGTCAGAGTTTTAGGCCTTGGAAGTTCCCTTGTAGATGGAACCTACAATGGACGGAAAGGGTGCTGATCAGAACGAAAACATGAAGTATTAATCGAAAGTAATTAATATCAGAACACGACATAGTGCCAAAGAAGGCAAAAGAAATCAATGAATCCGGGATTGATATATGGAATAGAGCACTGCAAACTTGCATTTGATGCTGAACTTGATCCTCTCCTGTTATTCGGCATTGGAGACGAACTTGAGAATCTCGGAGATTTAATTAAAGATGATACCTAACATGAGAAAAAAGATAGCTAAAAATATGAAATGGCAATTCTAAAGCAACAAATCAGTAACATGATGAACAAAGGATGAGTTGGGAACAACTTGAGGTCTAAACTCCCTGTTGCGACTTGCATCTGAGATTGATCCTCGTGGTACCCAATCATTGAAACTTGGAGAGGGACTATGCGATTTCTTGACTTCGCTCACTGAAGAAGGAGCCTAGCACGAGGAATAATAGAGAAAAATAATGACTTCGCAAGTAATTAATTGATCCATAATTCATGTAAAAGCATAAAATTTCTTCTATGAACACAATAAAATTTCAAATCCATGAAGTTTACAAATTTCGAAAAGATAATAGTACTCGAGATAGAAACACATGGTCTCAACACAATTGATATTTCTTTGTTGCAGACAAGGGCAGATTTTTTGTGAAGTTCATATCTACCTTGACCTTCTTCTGATATGCTACTACTCTTTGAATGGCTTGTTCCACCAATGGATCGACCATTTGATCTTCTTCCATATCTCTTTCAGTTGAATCCCTTGAGGAAAAAAAAAGTAGATGACGACTACTATGATTTGAAATAAGTATATATTGTTGTTTCCAAATAATTGCTGCAAACCACACTATTGTTGCATGTGACAGAAAGTTGACAATAAAGTCCAATCCTGCAAAAAAAAGTAAGAGAATTATTACAAAATTATGCATAACTTTCCAATTAACCTGTGAAACTTTCTGTTTGAGAAGTGTTTATGAACTATTTAAATTATAAATAGATAGAAATGAGTAGTGTGGTAAATGAGTACTTTTGTGGGTTCCACAAAATGTGTCAAAAAAAAGAGATTTTACCGATTATAAACATTAGCCAAATATTAGTATGACTTTTGTGCTCTCTTCCATCATCTGCATGTCTCTTAGCATTTTTCTACTTGTTTTTCATGAATTATTGCATGAGAATATATTATTATGTGTCGAATATGAAGAAAATCTTATCACATACCTTTAGCATTTACACACTCCTACTCAGTGCATATTCAAATTTCATAGTATAGGACATTGCTTTACAAAGTTGTTAGGGTCATCAGTAATATGCAAAGCTAAAAAGATTTGCGACGAACCGTGACCCAATTTCTTCCTTAATAGAATCCTCCCAACCGAACATGTCAAGAATGAATTAAACGGGCATTTAAATAGACAGATTATCTATAGAAATTTTGGCAATCTCATGATATATTAAACAGAATGAATCACAGTTTCAAGGACAAGAAAACAATAGAAGCTGCAAATTGCAAAGCAGAGTACATAACTAAAAATTATCAAACGGTGATTATGATCAAATGGAGACATTTGGAAGAATTTCGAACGTAAAAAGTTGAGAATCTGAAAGAATTTTTGTGCGCTAATGAGAGTTGAGAGTACAATAACTGAATAACACCAAAGGTGTGGTCTTTGTAACTTCTTTTTTTTTTTTTTTTCGCCTTTTCTTTTATGTAAGTAGATCAGAAGGACGGAAAAAGTTAAGAAAACTGTTGGACTAGGTGACCCAGTAGGTTGGTTGTGCAGCCAGGCCTGACAAAACGCCAGTTGTCTTCCTCTCGACTCTTCTAGCCCGAGCTTAATAACAAAGGTCGATTTGTTTCAAAAAATTAGAAGTTAGGATTTTCTTGCTCTGCATTAGTTCAAAGTTAATGTACTTGTCTGATTGCTATTGAAGAGAAAATTGCTTTTAATTTTGTTTGAAAAACTCTAGTTACCTTTATAAAAACTCGATTTTAAAGGTTCCTTTTTTACAGGAGCTGAACTTAAAGAGTATGTGAGTTGCTAGACGTGAAAACAAACATAATAACAACATATTTGATATGTGAATTGGACCGGATGGAACAAGACAATAAATTTTATGATGTGATTCTTTTCCACTTTGAATTTTGTTCTGAGTATTTGAAGCTTACAGAGATGAAATTAAGAAAATTTGAGTCTGTTTTGTTTAAGAATGTAAATTTGTCTGTCTAATTACAGAAAGAATCGTAACAAAGGATCTCTGTATTTAGATACATGTTTGAGTAAAAACTGATCTGCTAATGAAACTGTTGACACTTTTCTGAAGAACAATCACTTTGGCTGCCTGAAATCCTTATTAGCATGGCTAAAACTTCTTTCATATTAGGCCTAGAATGAGGGTTCTCTGCTGTGCACAATATTCCTATACGAAGTAATTCACACATATATTCCGCACCCTCTGCTAAGCCGGATACCAGTAGAGCTACGGGGATTACATTTTTAACAAAGCCTTGTCGTCCATTTCCCATAACCCTTTTGCCCCATTCGACTAAACATTCTTCGCCACCATCCACAGCCCGTCTCCCAGTTGCTAGTTCCATTGCTAACACCCCATAGCTGTAAACGTCCCCTTTTGTTGAGGCTTGCCATGTCTGACCATATTCTGGTGCAACGTAACCAATTGTTCCGGCTACCATAGTGCTAACATGGCTGCCTCCGTCATCCACCACCCTTGCAAGTCCAAAATCTGTAACACGGGCTTTTCCTGTCTTGTCGAGAAGTACATTGCTAGCCTTGACGTCCCTATGTACTATACTCGGTAAGCACTCATGGTGTAAGTAGACTAAGGCGCATGCAACGTCTACTGCCACATCGATACGCCTTCGCCAGTTAAGGTGTATTCTGTCGGTAATAAGATCCTCTAAAGTCCCACCTTCCATGTACTCGTAAACCAAAAGTTTTTCTGATCCATCAAGGCACCATCCGTATAGTTTCACAAGGTTCGGATGAGGCCAACCGAATCCATTTCCACTTAATAACTCCATTTCAGCTCGGAATTCTTTTTCCCCTTCAAGTCCTTCTCTTTGTAATTTCTTCACTGCCACTTGCCTGCCATCCGGCAAGACTCCTCGATAAACTATTCCCGATCCTCCCCTGCCAATAATTCTGTCCTCCGAAAAGCTCCGAGTAGCCTTCAAAATGTCATCATGTGTGAACGTTGTTCTGTCCAATCGGATAACCTTAACCGTGTCTGATAACCAAGGCGAAGATGCACCTGAGCTTGATGCAAATTCGAGCTGAGCCTTCGAATCCTCCAGTAGATATCCCTGTGTGTCTATTGGACGTTTCACCAACAGGTAGACTGTGAGAGTCATAAGGCCACATACTAAAAAGGCGAGTATCAATGCGAAAACCACTAGAGTAGATCCTACCTTTGTAGTCCTCTTAGCCCTTCCATTCTTGTTTCCTGAATTGTCAGTTGTGTTATTAATGAAAGAAGGAAGGCGTAAAAGTGGATCCCCGAGGAACGACCATTTCTCAAACGTTGACAACTGTCCAGTTGTTGGTATTACGCCAGAAATATACGAGTTGTACGAGACATTAAACTTGCTCAAATCATTCAAGTTATTCAAGCTAGTAGGAAATGAACCTGAGAAATTGTTATATGACAAATCCAGGTTCAGTAAGCACTTGAGGTTGCCAATTTGCCGAGGAATTTCACCAGAAAATTTGTTCTGTGAAATGTTAAGGACCACTAGTGGCAATCGTCCTATCTCGGGAGGAAATTTACCATAGAATTGATTGAATCCCAAATGCACCATACTGAAATTCAGCATGTTCCCAATCTCGAGAGGGACCTCACCAGACAATTGATTGCCGGAAAGTTGGACATAGCCTGATACCTGAAGAGTCCGTATATTTGATCCCGGTGAACACACTGGAAATAGGCCATACCCCTTAAGAATCTGGTCCCAAAGACTTCGACATTTTTTCCTCGTAAGGAGGTCATATACAAAGCTAAACGGGGGATAATCTGCCGGTATCCACCTCATCATTGTCAAACATTCCCCAGAGCCAGCCACGAGCTGATCATTTTGCCGGTTTTTTAGAAAAGTAGGTGTCACATTCTTGCCAATATTTGTTAATTCAGGTGGAATTTTCCCTGAAAGTTGATTGTTTGCAAGATTCAACCACAAAAGGCTGCTGCAATTTCCCAGTTCTGCCGGAATTTCACCTGTCAATGAATTATTTGCTAACATTAACCACAAAAGTGAGGTTAAATTTCCCAAGCTCTTAGGTATAGACCCCTTTAACTGATTGAACGAAAGATCAAGGGCTTGAAGCCCTTTGAGATTTCCATACTCTGAAGGTATATCTCCACTGAATTGGTTGTAGGCCAGAACGAGAAACCTCAAGCTTGTCATCCTGGGGAGTACGGGTAGTGGACCGGAGAAATTGTTGAAGCTCAAGTCCAGTCGAGTAATGTTAGGCAGTTGAAGAATTCTTGAGGAATATATCCCTCCTGTATATGAATTTTTATGCAACAAGAGAAATTGCACTCGCGTCAATCGCCCAAAAATTTCTTGTATAACTCCTCCAAAGTTGTTTCTGCTTAAATCCAGAAAAACCAAGTTGCTAAGATTTGTTAAAGACTCTGGAATTTCCCTGGAAAAACTATTGTTCCCCAAGTAAAGTGCCTCAAGATTAGATAGGGATCCAATCTCTTTAGGAATCAGCCCTGTAAAATTGTTTCCCCATAATGTCAACACTTTCAAACCTTTGCAATTGGAAATTTCTGCGGGAAATTCTCCGAAGAATTGATTTTCTGATAAATCAAAACTCCGTAAACTACAATTTCGTGTGAAAATTGACGAGGGAACACTGCCAGAGAATTTGTTCTGCGCGACTGAAAATTCCTCGAGCCTATCTGAACCAGGCCATATGTCTCCAGTCAAATTATTCGAGCTGAGATCGAGATACATCAGATTCGAGCACTTTTCGAAGATGCTTCCAACTTCACCAGTAAAATTGTTTAAAGAAATATTCACCACCTTCAAATTTTGGCAATTTTGAGGAATTGCTTGTTCAATAGGACCAACAATTCTATTGACGGACAAATCAAGAATCTCCAGGCTGCTGAGTGCTGTCAAGTTGAACTCTCCAGTGATAATATTATGTGACAAATTCAAGAATTTAAGGTTCACACACTGGCTTAAATCTTCCGGTATGATCCCTCCTATAGTATTTTGTGACAGGTCGAGGTGAGAAAGATTTGTCAAGGCCGAAAAGTTACTCAATATGTTCCCCGACAACTTGCATCTCGAAAGGTCGATCCTCGTGACACGATTCCCGAGGCTATCACACGAAATTCCTGGCCAGTTGCAGGGCGAATTGTCCTGTACATTCCATTGTGTGTATATTCCTTGATTAACTGGATTTTGTTTCCCCAGAAGTGACCTCAGTTCCAGCAATACCTTCCTGTCTGTCTCTAGTGAGTCTCCAACAACAAGCTTTCCTATGATTCAGACACAATAAATGCAAGTCAACTCGTATGATCATCCTCGAAAACCGTGAAAAAAAATCTGCAAAAACCGGAAAATGTTCGAAAATCTAGAAGATGATTAGTACCTGTAATGAGGATCAGCAAATTAAACAAAGCAACCCGAATAACTTTGTCAGCTTCTTCTTCTGACATGATTGAGAGAATCCGATATTCTTTTATTCAAATTCCGAGTTTTTCAGAGAAGTTATTGGAACATTTTTTGAGGAAATTAATATACAAAAATTAAGTGTTCAAAGAAACAACAAATTTCGGCTAGTCAAATGTAAGAAAATGTAGTTGAATATTAGAGCGCCTGCAGATGGACAAAACCAAACTTGGAACAAATGCACGTACGGGTAATATTTAAATATTTGCAGTCTTGATTTATGAATAGTTAATGAGAAAAATTATAAGTTATAAGTAGTTTTTTTATTAAAATGAGTGATTTCAGCTTTTTGGGCTGATGTTTTTCTTGTTGATAGTATTGTCATATGGTGGAAGAGAGAGACAACTTTGTAACTACAACTTGGGGTGGGTTGGGGTGAGTGCGTGGGTGGAGCCGCCCAAGTTGACCAGTTTGGATGTTATAACTTGGCCAAGTTTGAACGAAATCTAAAGTCAGATGTTTTTTTCCTTTTTGCCCTTTTTGCTTTGATTTAATGTTTGGTATATGGTTCTAGAATCTAAAGACTCTTGTATCTATTTATTTTTCTTTAGGTCTCCCCAACCCCTCCTCGCCCCTTTCCGACTTGATAAAGGAGAGTGTCCTCAGTTGAGATTTTAATGAATTTTAAAAAAATATTATAAGCTTGGGTCTTGAAATTTAATAAAATTCTTTAAAAATTAGACTTGCATAATTGGGATTTTAATGAATTTTAATGAAATCATACAAAATCTAAATATTCTCAATAATTCGTGGATTTATAAGGATTTCAATAATAAATAGATTTCCAAGATTTTGGATGGATTTCAAGTTTTAAAATACATATAATAAACTCTTTTGAAATTTCACCATTATTATGAGATTTTTATAGATTACATGGATATATATTCAAATTCAAAAAATTCATTAGGATTTATTAAACTCATTAAAATACCCTCCGCAAATGTTTATGTTCCATTTTTTTTTTTTTTTTTTTTTGTTAAATTGTATTTGTCCTTCAATAAAATTTTGATACCTTATTGCAATTTTGAGGTGTCAAGATTTTGTTAGGAGATAGCAAAAATATGTCAGCAAATTTCTCCACCCACCTAAGAAAATGGAAAATATAGAAAAGAAACAAATAAGAAAGAGAAAAGGAAAATATTTTGTGGGGATTTGGCATAGTTTTTAATTGACTAATAGGAATTTGTGGAAGTTTAATTTAATTTTCCATATATAACTTTATTTATTATTTATGAAAAGTGGGAAATGTGGAGTTCGCTATTACAAGAAGATTTAGAAGATACAGTGTGTTTTGTGTCGATCATGTATTATATTATTTGTAAGTAGTATAGTACAAAATAACTACTAAATATGTAGAGCTAAAAATCAAAGATAATTATCATTCTGTCGTGAAAAGAGAGAAAAATAGAAGAGATAATAAAAGTCAGTAGACTTATACGTATTATAATGAGAACGAAAATATTATATTTATAGGGAAGAATTATGGATACAATGATAATAACTTTCAGGTCTGTAGGGATACAATTATCATTCATTAATAAACTTACCATTTACAACACTCCCCCTTGAATGATTACATTACAAAATATATACTTCGTTAAAACTTTATTTGATAAAAATCCAATGTGACAAAAAAATCAAACAAAAGAAAAATAGTACAGTTATTTTGGAGTATTAAAGGTAAATGCTATCTCATTAAATTGCTAAGAAAATCCAATGAGATAAAACCTAAGCGAAGGAAAAATAGTACAGTTACTCTCCCTGATGTTGAACAATGAAAATCTTTGAGTCAACGCATTTCAATATTGTGAACCAATTTCTTGAATGTAGATGTTGTCAGTGCTTTTGTAAATAAGTCGATCACATTGCCACTTGAGTGAATTTGTTAAACATCGATGCCACAATTCTTCTGAAACTCATGTGTATGAAAGAATTTTGGAAAAATATGTTTCGTCATGTCATCTTTGATATAACCTCCTTTGAGTTGTGCAATACAAGTAGCATCGTCTTCATACAAAATGGTTGGACCATCTTGTGTTGAAATTAATTCGCATAATACATGGATATGACAAGTCATGTTCATCAACCATACATATTCTACGCTTGCTTCATGAATTGCAATAATTTCAAAATGATTTGAAGATATCGCTGTCAAGGAATGCTTCACAGATCTTCATGATATAGATATTCCTCCACGTGTAAACATGTATCCTATTTTATATGGGTCAAAGAAATAACATGTATCTGCATATCTGACTAAAGCAGATCTCGACTTTTGAGAATAAAATAATCTCAAATCAATAGTACTCGATAATAAAAAATATGTTTAACACAATTTCAATGTCTTTGTATTGACGTAGAACTATATTTTGTAAGGAGATTTACAGAAAAAGTCATGTCTGGTCGAGTACAATTTGCAAGATAATTTATTACTCCAATTACACTAAGATATGGTATTTCAGAACCAAAACTATTTTCTCCACTTCAAAGAGACGAAAATAATCTTTTTTCACGTCAAGTGATCGAGCAATCATAGATGATGCAAATAGATGTGCATTATCAATATAAAAGTGTTTTAAGATTTTTTCTGTATATGTAGATTGCTGAACAAATAATTTTTTTGGGAAATGTTCAATCTGCAATTCGAGGCATAATTTAGTTTTTCCCAAAATTTTTTTATCTCAAATTCATTTTCAAATAATTTGCAGTTTTGTTGAGCTATTCAAAAGTTCCAATTAAATTTAAATTATCAACATAAACTGCAAAAATTGTAAATTCAATAGTTGTTTTTTTTATGAAAACATATGGGCAAATATCGTCATTTTTATAGTCTTCTTTCAACAAATATTCGCTAAGATAATTATACCACATGCGTCTGGATTGTTTTAATCCATATAAGGTGCATGTAGAGCCTTTGTGACACAATTAAACTAATTAAGAATCTAAAATTGATGGTATCCATTACGAGAGAATATGTTTCCTCATAATCAATTCATGATCTTTGTGAGAAACCTTGAGCTAAGGTTGGACTTTGTATCTTATAATTTCATTATTTTGATTTCTCTTTTGTACAAAAACTCATTTGTATATAACATGTATTATATTTTCAAGTGTTCGAACTATAGGTTCCAACACTTTTTGTTTCTATAAGGAATTCAATTATGCTTATACGACTTTTTTCCACTTTGGCCAATAATTTCTATATTGACAGTCTTTAACAGACTGTGAATCAGGATCCTCATTTTGCATAATATCAAAAATGACAAAAAAAACGAAAATATTGTCTATAACAACATTATTTCGTTTCCATAATTTATGAGATAACATATAATTTATTAAAATTTTATTATTTTCGGATACTTGTGGTTCTTTAGAAATTATATTTTCAATATTTGATTGATCATGTATAATTGATTTTTCTCTTGTACTTTCCTTTTCAAGATACAAAGTATTTTGAACCAACTAGTTAGCCACACTTTTGGTAGGGGTAGCAACGAGTAGAGCCGAAATTCGAAGCTTTTTGAGGCTCGGCCCTAAACGGGCTTGTTCGATATATATACAGAAATGATCTAATATATATATATAACACAAAGGCAGCACAGCTGCCTCTTTCCCTCCTTCCATTTCATTTTTTTTTAAAAATTTTATACAGGCCACATAGGTCGGCTCGACTCGGCCTGATTTCCCAAAATGGGGCTCGGCCTGAGCTTCGATTCGTTATATCATGCCTTGGGTCGGGTCGGCTCAGAATTTTTCCAAGCCGAGCCAAGGGAGGCCTGAGCCAGCGAGCCAAACTGCCATCTCTAGTTTCTGGCGTATTTGAGATTCATTTACTACGACAAATTGACCTGCAGGGATATCAATTTTTGCTGGAATATTTTCTACTGGTATTTATGACTTTGCCACATTTCTTATGCCTACAAATACATTTGGTAATTGATTTGCAATTCTTTGCAAATGAATAATTTTATCAATATCTTGCTCACATTGATTGTTGCGGGGATCGAAGTGAAATAGAATTGTTTCATTTCAAGAAATTTTACCTTATTTATCATGATGTAATTTTTTCCCTCCAAAAGTTGGGAAAGTCATTTCATTAAAATGACAATTTGCAAAACATCCAATAAATAAATCACATGTTAAAGGTTGAAAACGCCTAATAATAGATGGTGAATCTAACATACATAATTCTCAAGTTTTCGTTGGAGACCCATTTTTGTATGTTGTGGGGGTGAAATAGGGAGTTGAACAACACAATCAAAAATCCGTAGGTAAGAAATATTAGATTCATGGCCAAATGTCGTTGCAAAAGTGAATATTGATAGTATACAGTTGGTTTGATACGAACCAATGATGCAGCATGTAATATGACATGACGCCAAAAAGAAGTTGGGAGTTTTGTTTTCATAAGTAACAGTCTAACAATAAGTTGTAGATGTTTAATAAATGACTTCACTAAACTATTTTGTTTATGAACACAAGCAACCGAATATTCGATAGCAATCCCAATTGTCATACAATAATTATTGAATACTTATGATCTAAATTCACCAACATTATCAAGACGAATAGTCTTGATTGAGTAATTGAAAATTTGTACTTGTAATTTTATGATTTAAGCAAGCAGTTTAGTAAAAGTTACATTCCTAGTGGAAAATAGGCAAACATGTGACCATTTAGTAGAAGAATTAATTAATACCATAAAATAACGAAATGGTCCACATAATAGGTGTCCTGGCTCACATATATCTGCATGAATTCCTTCTAAGAAAGTTGGAGATTCAATATTGACATTTATAGTCGAAGGTCTAAAGACTAACTTGTATTGTGAACAAACTACACATGGATAATCATTAGGTAAAAGAATCTTCTGATTTTTTAAAGAATGTCCATGTAAGTTGTTTATTATTCGACACATCATTATACTTCCTTGATATCCAAGTCGATCATGGCTAAGTATAATTTTTTTGGATCAAGAAATTTCTAA